CTGGTCTGAGATTGCCTTTGTAGCTACCTGCCCATGGTTCGGTAGCCCCTCTCCTTTGATGGATCCAGAGGCCAGCCCAAGCAGCCACCTAGTTCTCTTGGATTAGAGGATGACTCTGACACTGTCTCTACTGGCAGGTCAGTGCCAGCCCAATGTTCATGAATTTAATTGCAATAGAGAAATAGTCCTGGGGAGACATTTCATAACTGCAGCCCCACGGTAGGACGTCTGTCTGTAGCTCCGCCACAGAGTGTCTGTAACTGGAGCAGTACTGCAGGGTGTGTCTCTGTCTGTAGCAAAATCATGGAGTGTCTGTAGCTGTAGCCCCATTATGAGGTGTCTGATTTGGTGAGTATTCTAGGAGCTGCCAACACCTCCTCCCTTCTGCTGATAGTTTTGGCTCCTTCAAAGTCTCAGTTGGCCCTACCTAATGAGTAGGAAGAGTCTTGGTTCCGGAGATTTCTTCTCAATCAGGAAGATTTGGGGGAGATTTCTCAGATGGGAAATAGGAGGCTAGTTTGGAAGGAATACTCTTGGAATTCTTGGCAAGGGATCTTGATTTGAAAGGCCTTCTGTCCATCTTGTCTTTGTTGTGTGTGTTTGTATGTGTGGAAGGGATCTCTGAAGAAACTGCTGACCGAAGTCCAGCAGGCCTAACTTGAAGAACCCTCTGTAAGTGTAATCGCATTCGGTGAGCCCTGAAGAAAGCTCAACAGGCCTGACTCTGTGATTCTCCACTCTTCGTCTTGCCAAGAGACCACTCATCAAATTCCTAGTTGGAGGTCATCCCTTCCCACCTTAAGTGGATCAAAGATGACAGAGACCAACAGGAGAAAGTTTGAGCCTTGTTAGATCAATTTTGGGTGTGGAATGAGGAGACTAGTGTCTGTTTTGTTACGTGTATTTTGCTTCAGCTGGGATGGAAAACGTTAATTCGGTTCCTCATGCAGCCCATTGGGTGGCATCTTGCAAAACTAGAAAGCTTTTTCCTATGGTTCCATAAAACAGAAAGTGACCATTTTCTTTTGTAATGGGTCCCCACAGCTTGGTGCCGTGAGCAGGGTCATCAAAAGCTGCTCTGTTCTTCTGAAAGTTGCAGAGAAAGGGAACCCAGAAACCTGGTACCTGGTATGCTGGCAAAAAGGGTAAGAATTTCTTACCAGCCAGGTTTCTGGTCGGTTGGTCGGTTGGTCAGTCTGTCTGTCTCTCTCTCTTTCGTGTGTGTGTGTGAATGATAAACATCACTGTCTCTTCTGCAAAGGTTTGATTAATAGAAAAAAAGGATTTGTGAGACTAGTCTTATTAGGATGCCGCAAATCTGGTGTACTTTGTGCTAAGAATTTGTCTTTCTGTAATGGAGAGGCAGTGTCACAGGACAGAACACAGGCTTTGAACCCCTAAACGCCTACTTTTCAAGCCAGCCTGGCAGGCTTGTCAGTTACAAACTTTGCTGCAGGCCCCTGAAACCAATACTGGATGAAGCTTCTCTCTCATGTTGTTTTATGTCCTTAAAATCTTAACCTTGTGACCATGTGGGGATACTTTAGGCTCTGCCATTCAGAGGACAAGGATTTTGGGGTTCATGTCATAGCTAGCCCTAAAAATTATCTTAAGCAGTTTAAAGCCTTTGTAAGCTCAAAACTGGCTACTCTAGGCCTCTTTTGGGAAGAACAATAGAAACTGCTTAATGTTGTAGCTTCATAGCTAAGGCTTTGTTTTTTGACAATGGCAGCCTAGGTTCAATTCTTGGCTTAGGAAATCAGTCCTTTCTGCTTTGTTATTTGTGAAACTTTTTGCCATTTATTGATTCTTTTCCCCCAGGGACTGCTTCTGATTTCCTAATTTTTTATTTCTCTGAATTATCTCTGGGTAGATTCTAAATCTTGTAAATAAACTGTTTACTGTCTCTTTGAGACACCTTATGCATCCATGGTCAAGTTATAACCTTAGTTAAAACTTATTAATTTCACTGGGAGGTTACCTGTGATAGAATTCAAAAGCCAAAAATATTGGCTCTCCTGACTGGAGTTTGGAATGAGATTTTAAAAGTTTTTTTAAAAAACAAAAGAGCTCTACTGTTAAAATCAGCTTAATTAAAATGGATATCCAAGCTATACATATTTAAAAGGCCTTCATCTTTTTCTTCTTCTTGAATAGCTTTTTTCTGAAAAAGGTTTTTCTTCTCAGTTGACAGAATTATTTTTCTCCATTTTGTCTGCTTCCCGCTCCTAATGTCCACATGAGAGAATCTAAGAATTTCAAACAGCCTGGACTCCTGGGGAACAACAGAGGTGGCACCACAGACCCCATTCTGGAAAAAACCTATTTTCCTCATGGAACCCCAGGAATTGAAAGTGGATACATCTCTCTCAAAATCTAAGGTTGTGTTTGGTTTTTCATTGTGTTACCTGACCTTTTTTTTGACTTTTGGGGGCATCAGAAATTACTTTACATTATGGGAAAGCCTTTAGCCTTAGTGTATAGCAACTTTAAGGGATATTGGCTGTTACAGAGGGATACTTGACTCTTTGTGTACTTGGATTAGAGAAGCATGCTTGGTCACCTGGAAGGTATGCAAACATCCTCACCTTCCACTGAGAGATGAGATTCCCATGGGGATGGGCTGATTACAAAATGGGCTGATTGGCTTTGGGTTGCCTTGTAATAAAATGCACAGTAAAAGCATTGCACTGTCTTCTTCCATAGTATTTCCCTCTTTTTGGGGATCCAGGATGTGATATAAAAATGGGACCCCTTGGCTGGGCGCAGTGGCTCACGCCTGTAATCCCAGCACTTTGGGAGGCCGAGGCAGGTGGATCACGAGGTCAGGATATCAAGACCATTCTTGCCAACACGGTGAAACCCTGTTTCCACTAAAAATACAAAAAACAAAATCAGCTGTGCATGGTGGTGAGTGCCTTTGGTCCCAGCTACTCAGGAGGCTGAGGCAGGAGAATGGCTTGAATCTGGGAGGTGGAGCTTACAGTGAGCCAAGACTGTGCCACTGCACTCCAGCCTGGGCGACAGCGGGAGACTCCGTCTCAAAAAAAAAAAAAAAAAAAAAAAAAGGGACCCTTAATTTTGGGGATCTGTTTCTGCCTTCCAGCTGTGCCTGCTTATTAGGCCCTGGAAACAGCAAGCTTTCCTGACCCTATTCCTCCAACGGCTCCACCCTGAAGCCAGTAATCCAATTACTGACAAACGAAAATCTTGACAACTACTGGATCTTCTTCTCTCTGTATATTTATATCTGTTTGTGTGACGTTTATATATGAAAGAGCTCTGAACAATTGGGGGCAAAATAAGGGCTTAAATAAAATATTTTGTCAGAAAAATAGAAACTTTAATGCCTTTTTATTCATGTGACTTTAGTAATCTTTCAGAAATAAAGACAACTTTAAAGATTATTGGTAAAATAAAAACGTCTTCAAAATTTAGACATTTGATAGAGATATTTGGTCTAAATTGGGTCAGATATTAGGTTTGCTAAATGCTTTAAGGTAATAAACTGCTTCTTTGACTTTTGAAAACTGTTTGACTTACCTACTTTGGAGCCATTAGGTTCTAGATAAGGCCTGGGGACATGTGGCATAAGCCACACCCCCTAGCTGTACTAGGAAGAATCAGACCTTATTTGCGCTGCTGTCTGGTGTCCTAGGCTCCACAGCCAGTATATATTAAAATCATTTACTTATCGGGCTTTTCACAAAAAATGAAAGATGCTAAAAGTTAACAGTATAACACGTACTTGAGTCCACTGGAAAAAGAGTTTTACATGCAAGTTTGCAAGGTATAGAAGGAAAGTAGAATGTGGTTTTGGTGGGAAATTATAAGAAGGCATGGGAATATGGTTTTTGTTAAAGGGAATGTAATTTTGTATAGTTCAGAGGGTTTTAAAGAATATCTTAACCTAAAAGAGTAAAGGGTCAAAACTGAAGTTTAAGCAAGTTGGAAACGTTTGTGAAGGGTTGATCTTATAAAGGAAGTTCTGTGAAAAGAAGCAAGTTGGCTAAGAGTTGAGGGGAACTGTTTTGTAATTTTCTGTATATCAAACATTAAAATAAAAGCACATTGATGTGGAGCCAGAATCTGGGCCCATGTGTCTGAGTAACAGGGTTTTCTTTTAAAAAAATTGATCTGTTGAACAGAAAATTGTAAGGAGTTAGTTATAAGAAGTTTATGAGAATCTTACCTTATGGTCAAACTAATTAAAACTACATAAATTTACAAAATTGTATTAAAAACTAGCTTTAGCATTAAAGATGCCCTAAAGCAAACATGAAACTTGTTTTTCTCTTTTGAAAAAGATTTTTATGTAATATTAAGAGACAATTAAAATAAATCTTATTTGCCTTTTGAGTAAACTACAAAAAAAAAAAAAAAAAAAGGGAGGGGAGAGAGAAGAGACAGATTCAGTTGACCTCATGCTGTCTTCATTGGATATTATTGTCTAGAAAGCTGAGTTTCCTCTCTATCAGAGAAAAGGTCTTTTCCTTTTTAAAATTTCTGGGTTATCATTTTGGCTATATGAATGACTTATGGTGACCTGGGATTCTATTTAGTGATATCCAGTGTTGTAAACCTTCGATATTTGACAAACTTTCCAAAGTCAAATTATAGAGTATGTCTTTTTCTGACCTAATTAATCTTTTAGATATTAGGTCCCCTAAAGTGCAAAAATGATGTATTTGCCTTATTTTACATAAAAATCACACAGGAAGCATTGTCAACTATGAAATGATGTTTGGCTTTCTTTGGACTGTATTTTTATAAATATATTATTATCAATATGTTATTTGTATGTGTTCAAAAATTATAGGAGGCTTCTATAATTCTGACATAATTTAGTGTATATTAAGCCTTTTAACTATTATGTAAAATACTAGACTACCCAGGCAGAGGGCTGCATGAAGGGAACTAATGCTGCCCACTCTAAGATTACCCCTGGGTCAAGAGTACCTGAAAGTCCATACCATATTTGGTGCAAATCTGTTACTCACCTTGGCTTTCCCAGCACTGAAATGTGGAGGCAAAGATCTTGAGGCCACTGTTATCCTAGCTCTTGTCTGGGCCAAATTACCTATGAAAGAGACCACAAGGAACATAAATTAAGGAAAAGTTAAGGAATAGGATCACGAGTAATTTTTCCCTTTGTGTCCTAGTATTTTTCTGAATTTTCAAAATAATCTGTTTTGAATTTTTAAAATTTGGAAAATTTTGAAACTTTGATGATATAAATTATAAATTATAATAATTATTTAAAAGTTTAAAATAATTTGTAAGCAGCTGGGCGTGGTGGCTCATGCCTGTAATCCCAACATTTTGGGAGGCTGAGGTGGGCAGATCATGAGGTCAGGAGATCGAGACCATCCTGGTTAACACAGTGAAACCCTATCGCTACTGAAAATACAAAAAAAAATTAGCTGGGCGTGGTGGCGGCAGCCTGTAGTCCCAGCTACTTGGGAGGCTGAGTCAGGAGAATGGCGTGAACCCGGGAGGCAGAGCTTGCAGTGAGTGGAGATCGCACCACTGCACTCCAGCCTGGGTGACAGAGCAAGACTCCATCTCAAAAAAAAAAAAAATTTGTAAGTAACTTGTAAATAAATTCAATATATATTAGTTTTATAAGCAAAAAGAAAGAACATAAAAGTATTAAATTCACTGAACAAATTAGAAATAAAAGGAAATTACCTCAACATAGTAATGGCCATTTATGAAAATCCCACAGCGAAATGTCAGAGGCATTTGAACCAGAGCAACTCCATCTTGAATAGGGGCTGGGTAAAATAAGGCTGAGACCTACTGGGCCGCATTCCCAGGAGGTCAGGCATTCTTAGTCACAGGATGAGGTAGGAGGTTGGCACAAGATCACAAAGACCTTGCTGATAAAACAGGTTGCAGTTAAAAAAAGAAAAAGCTGGCCAAATCTCACTATAACCAAGATGGCAATAAAAGTGACCTCTGGTCAACCTCGTTGTTCATTATATGCTAATTATAATGTATTAGCATGCTAAAAGACACTCCTATCATCTGCAGGACAACAAATGCGTGGCAACATCAGGAAGTTACCCTATATGTTCTAAAAAGGGGAGGACCCCTCAGTTCCAGGAATTGCCCACCCTTTTCCCAAAAAACTCATGACAAATCTACCCCTTATTAAGCATATAATCAAGAAATAACCATAAAAATGGGCAACCAGCAGCCCACAGGGCTGCTCTGCCTATGGAGCAGTCATTATTTTATTCCTTTATTTCCTAATCAACTTGCTTTCACTTTACTCTATGAACTCATCCCGAATTCCTTCTGGTGCAAGATCCAGGAACCCTCTCTTGGGATCTGGATTGGGATTGGGACCACTTTCTGGTAACACTAACATCAACCAAACAGTGAAAAATTGAAAGCTTTTTCCACAAAAACAAGACAAGGATTCACACACTCACCACTTCTATTCAATATATTATAGTACTGGAAGTCTTAGCCGGGGTGATTAGTTAAGAAAAAGAAATAAAAGGCATCCACATCAGAAAGGAAGAAGTAAAATTAATCTCTGTTCACAATCTTATATGTAGAAAACCCTAAAGATTCCACATTAAAAGAAGTGTTAGAGCTAATAAATGTTAGAACTAACTTTAGTAATAATGCTTATACAAAACCAACGCCCAGGCCAGACGTGGTGGCTCACGCCTGTAATCCCAGCACTATGGGAGGCCAAGGCAGGTGGATCACTGGGTCAGGAGTTCGAGACCAACCTGGCCAACATGGTGAAACCTCGTTTCTACTCTACTAAAAATACAAAAATTAGCCAGGCTTGGTGGTACACGCCTGTAATCCCAGCTACTCAGGAGCCTGAGGCAGGAGAATCGCTTGAACCCGGGTGGCGGAGATTGCAGTGAGCCAAGATCATGCCACTGCATTCCAGCCTGGGACAGAGAAAGATTCCGTCTCAAAAAACAACAACAACAAAAAAACCAAACCAAAGCAAAACAAAACAAAACAAAACAAAAAAACACCCAAAAATCAGTTATTTTTTGTTGTTGTTGTTTTTGTTTTCAGACAATGTCTCACTCTGTCGCCCTGGCTGAAGTGCAGTGGCGTGATCTCAGCTCACTGCAACCTCCACCTTCCAGGTTCAAGTGATTCTCACGCCTCAGCCTCCCGAGTAGCTGGGATTACAGGCACCCACCACCAAGCCTGGCTAATTCAGTTGCATTTTAATACACTAAAAATGAACTATTCAAAAAAGAAATTAAAGAAATAATTCCATTTAAAATAGCATCAAAACACAATAGGAATAAATTTAATCAAGGAAGCAAAAGACTTTTACACCAAAAACTACAAAACATTGCTGGAAGAAATTAAAGGCGGCACAAATAAATTGACGCACATCACTGTTCATGGGTTGGAAGACTTAATATTGTTAAAATGTTCATACTACCCCAAGCATTCTATAGATTCAGTGTAATGCTTATTAAGTCCCAATGGCATCTGTTGCAGATAGCAAAAATATCCTAAAATCCATACAGAACCACAAAGGACCCAGAATAGCCAAAACAACAGTGAGAAAAAGAATAAAGCTGGAGGATTCACATTTCCTGAATTCAAAACATATTACCAAGTGACAGTAATCAAAACATATGGTACTGAAATAAAGACAAACCAATTAAACAAAATAGAGTGCCCAGAAATAAACACACAGAGATGCGTGATCAAATGATCTTTGATAAAATCACCAAGACTATACAATGGGGTAAAATAATCTCTTCAACAAACAGTGTTAGGGAAAGTGAATATCCACATGCAAAAGAATAAAATTTAACTGTTACCTTACACCATACACAAAAATCAAATCAAAATGGATTGAAGATTAAAATGTAAGAATTGAATCTATAGCCGGATGCGGTGGCTCACACCTGTAATCCCAACACTTTGGGAGGCCAAGGTGGGTGGATCACAAGGTCAGGAGATCAAGACTATCATGGTTAACACAGTGAAACCCCGTCTCTGCTAAAAATACAAAAAATTAGTTGGGCGTGGTAGCAGGCACCTGTGGTCCCAGTTACTCAGGAGGCTGAGGCAGGAGAATGGCATGAACCCGGGAGGCGGAGCTTGCAGTGAGCCGAGATCGCACCACTGCATTCCAGCCTGGGTGACAGAGCAAGACTCCGTCTCAAAAAATAAGAAAATAAATAAACAAACAAACTGAAACTATAAAACTCCTAGAAGAAAACGTAGGAGAAAAACTTCATAACATTAGTCTTGGCAACAATTTTTTTTGGATATGAAACCAAAACATAGACTATAAAAGCAAATATAGACAATGAGACTACACAAAACTAAAACTTCTACTCAACCAAGGAAACAATCAATGGATTGTAGGGATAACCTATGGAATAGGAGAAATTATTTTCAAACCATAGAGCTAATAAAGGATTAACATGCAAAATATATAAGGAACTCCTACAACTCAATAGTAAAAAAGCCAAATAACAAAATAAATAAATAAATAAATACGGATTCGATTACACATATCTCCAAAGAAGGCATACAAATGGCTAACAGGTATATGAAGAGATACTCAGTATCACTAAACATCAGGGAAATGAAAATAAAAACTATTATGAGATGAAATATTACCTTATTCCAATTAAGAAGATCATCATCAAAGAAACAGAAACAAGTGTTGAAGAGGATACAGAGAAATTCGAACCCTCTGCACTGTTGGCGGGAATATAAAATGGTGCAGCTGCTATGGAAAATGTAGCATAAAAGTTCCTCAAAAAATTAAAAATAGATCTACCATATGACACAGCAGTCCCTCTTCTGAGTATTTACCTAAAAGAATTGAAGACAAGATCTCCAAGAGATATTTGCACTCCTGTGTTCATTGCACCATTATTCACAAGGGCCAAGAAGTGTGAACAAACTAAATGTTTATCAACAGGTAAATGGACAAAGAGCATTTGGTATATACATGCAATTGAATACCCAGCCTTAAAAAAAAAAAAAAAAAAAAAAAAAAGGAAATCCTGCCATACGCTACCACATGGATGAACCTGGAGAACATTCGGCTAAGTGAAATAAGCCAGTCACAGGAACACAATACTGCACAATTTCACTTACGTGAGGTATCTAAAGTAGTCAAACTCACAAAAGCAGAGTAGAATGGTAGTTGTCAGTGGCTGGGGGCATGAGGAAGTGGGAGCTGCTATTCAACGGGTATTGAGTTTTAGTCGCATAATACGAAAAAATTCTAGAGATCTGCTGTACAAAAATGTGCACATATTTGATACTATATTGTTTACTTAAAAAGAGAGATTTCATGTTATATATATTTTTTTACTACAAGAAAAAGTCTCCAACTGGGACACTGCTAATCACTGGAAGAGATGAATATGGAAGAAAAAAGGTGCTGAAGGAGGTTTACCCGAGAAAGAAGTTAGACAATAGAGCACACCATTGTGAAGATTGAGGACACAGACACTGATTAGTAGACCGGGCAGTAAGGATCCTTCACAGGAGGAAAAATATCTTTTTCTCTACTCATTCTAGGTTCATGGTTGAGGCCCTTTTAACAAAGGACAGATTACTAAGTGAAAAGGATAAAAATTTACTTAATGTAAGTTTTAGGTGACACTGGAGCCTTTATAAGGAAATAAAAGGAGAGTAGTAAAGAAATATGACAGGAAAAAGTATCATCTAATGGTAAGAAACTGAAGAAACTTAGTAAGGCCTATTCATTCAGATTCTTCTCTGTGTCCTTGTGTCTGCAGAGATAAGGATCCTTCTTTTCTGTGGGTGTAGGAAGAGCAGCTCCTACACGAGAGTCTCACAGCCTGCTTTAGGGGAAGTTCAGAAAAATCCCTCCTAGATTTTATGACCTGCTTAAAGGGACAAGGGGGTGGGGGTTAAGAGTGACATTCCTGCGCCTGCCATTTTCTCAAATTCCTTTAGCTTAAATTATTCAGTAGGTCAAGGGGCCATATTTTGGGATAGTGAGCCCTGAACCCCATCGATCCCTCCGCACATAAGGAGAAACCTGGCCACCCCGAGTGAGTCAGTGGGGTAGGGAGTGGGAGACAG